AGTTTTGAAGGAAGGCTGGGAATCCAAGAGACAAAAATGAAGAGGAAGAGAATATGAGGCACATACAACAGCCTGTGAAAATTCATGGTGCATCTTGTTTGAGGAACAGCAAGGATTCCAGTGATACTGAATCATAGGGTGGTAGAAGGGAGTAGGGTTTAAGAAGACCAGAAAGGTAGGAAGGGGCTAGGTTATGAAGGGCTTTTAGTGGGTTTTTTGTTTGCATTTCAGAGAGGGGGAAAAAAAACCCAACTGTAATAGTCTCTCATGAAATTTCTTTGAACCTCTGGAAATCAGGTTTCAGAGTATTTAATTCAACTCAATAAACATTTATTAAGCATCTAGTATACATAAAGTACTGGAGAAACAAAGACAAAAACCAAGAAAATCCCAGCCCTCAAGGAATTAAACAAAGATAAATACAATATAAGAAAACACTGACAACTAAGGGGATCAGGAAATGTTTTAGTGATACCTTAACCAAGGCCTGAAGGAAGCTAAGGATTAAACATATTCCATATATTTACATAAATGATAATTCCTATGTTTTTAACTGTTATCCAAAGAAAGGTTTCAATCTTTAGCTAAGGCAGACACTGTATTGGTTTACATGTTTATGCATCTGTGATTGCAATAAAACTTTTTTATATAAGTAAAACTTCTATAGTTCAGATTTTATGATACTTTTACTCTGGTCAAGCTGTTATTGATCTTTGCACCATCTACTAGAAACAAAAAAGATTTACTAAACTATTCTAAATAAGAATGGAGGAGTGTAAAATTTACTTACAGGCAGCAATAAAATAAAAGAATTAAATTAGATGGTTTCTAAGCTCCCTCTCAGCTCTAAATCTATCATCCTAAATTATAGCAAATGCTCAAAAACTGGCTAATGTTCAATATTAACCGCACTGACTTGACCTGTTTATACACTTTTGATTTCATGATCTGGTAAATTAAACCAAAGGATAAAAAAATCTTACATAATGAATATTCAACATCTATCCCATCCTGCTTCTGGCCTTAGGTTAAGTATTATAAAACATTACCCATAAAATATATATATATATAATGGAGATTCTTTTCTTTTTTGTTGTTGTTAAGTCATTTGGTTTGCATTTCCTTCTCCAATGCATTTTATGAGGAACTGAGGCAAACAGGGTTAAGTGACTTGTCTAGCATCACACAGCTAGTATCTAAGGCCATGTAAAGATGAGTCCTCCTGATTCCAAAGCCCAGTGCTCTATCCACTATGCCACCCACCTGCCCCCTTCATCTTAAATAACTTATAGCTATTCATCAAGGAAGATATGGCAGGACGCATGGTCAACAACAATTAATTTGTCTATCTGCACACATCTGTAATAAAATGGCATTTTACAAATGCTATCATTCAAACTGTCTCCTTCAAATTCCATATTAGTGAAGTTTATGCTATATATCTAGCCATGCCAATGTGATCTGTGAAGTCAAAGTTAATGGACCCTGACTATTTAACTTGTTTGATTGGCATCCAAAATTGCACTGTGCATAAATGGCCACTTGGGATAAAGAAAATTTCCTGAACATGAGAACAAATTACCTTAAGAATATAGGAACAGCTTGTTACAAACTTTGCTTATTCTTTCACTTCCAAGTTTAAAAACTAAACTTTCCATCTGTCCATCATCACACACCAGGAAGGTAGCTATGGTTAACCTACAAAAGTGTTACTCTTAAGCAAAGGGCCTGAATGAGTCAGGAAAATGAATTTAAGTTTTCCTCACAAGAATTTGGCTAAAGGCAAATTGGCATTAAAGGGCTGGATATATTTTTGAGAAAAAGTCTTTCTTGGGGAGATGTTACTCTTTTGCACATTAGAACACTCCATCATACAGTATAGGGCAGTGCAGAAAATTGTCACAAAAAAAAAAAGCTAGATTTCAAATGAGGTTTTTGTCAATGTTAAGCCTTATGAATGAGCAATATGTTTACACAAAGAACTCTTACAAGAGAAGCTGAAACAATTGCCTCGTGATATTAGTAAATGATTTCAGCACACAAAAAAAAACACGGTGGCAGTAATTCAAGTTTTCCAAAAAAGAATCTGAACAAGACCAAAGACACAGAGAATTATATAGCTTTCTACCAAATCACATTATTTAAATGTTTCAATCAATGAGATATAAATTAACATGCACAACAAATAAACCTTGGTAACTGAGCGAGATTTTGACATTTAAATTTGACCTTCGGACAGAAGAAAGGTGACCTCATTTGTGAGTTATTTACTATGTCTTCAAAATCATGACCAGAATCAAGGTTTAAAAATGAATTTTTTGTAGTTCTTAGCATTTGTTAAACATTTACTATGTGTAAGGCACTATACATAGCATTAGCATTAAGTATACAAAGAAAGGCAAAAAAGGATCCCTGCTCTCAAGGAGCTCACAGTCTAACAGGGAAGACAACATGCAACCAGCTATGTATAAGCAAAATGTATACAGGAAAAAGTGGAGATAATTAGTGGAAAGAAGACTTAAGGGGGATCAGGAAAGGCTTCTTGTAGAAGGTGGAACTTTAGTTGGGACTTGAAAAAGTCAGGCAAGTTAGGAGATGGAGCATCTCTTGTGAGGAACAACAAGGAGGTCAATGTCACAAAGTAAATAGATACGAAAACAGTGAAAGTTGTTCCCAGCAACTATGTAGAAGATGTTTTTCTCCCTTCAAAATATATACATAACAACTCAGAGTAAGAAAAGAAATTAGGGTTAGGAAGCTAAATTCTCTCTGTATCAGAGAGTTAGTGAATGCTAGCTACCAAAAACATTGAAGCCATTAGCCTATTAAATTTGTGCCAACCTAGTCTACACTTAGCAGTGTCGCTATAATCATACACTTACTTGACTGAATGTGAATGGACTAAAAAGGAGCAGAGTCATAGAAGGCAATTTTTATTTGCTTGTATTTGCCTGCAACCTGACTTCTTTTGGACCTACAGTTTGCACTCCAACAGGTAGCAAAGGAACTTGAGGGCTCAGAGCTCCTTGTTATCTTCAAGAGTTCTAAGACACTTTAGCACTCTTACAAAGATTGTACCTTAATCTGACAGTGAAGAGATGGGATCTAGGTTTACCTGCTTTTGTCCTGGGGGTCTCCTTTATATCTGCATACCTAGATTTTGAGTTGTAAATGAATGTTTGGGAATCCTCTTGCTATGCGAAAGGGAGAGGGAGATGGATGTGTTTCCCAGCCAACTTAGATCTGGTTGTAGCTTCTAGTTACTTAAACACTAAAGCACACTATACTGAAAAACACTGATGTTGTATCTTTCAAAGGTAGAGGAAAGATCTTGGAAATATTATTATTTAGAAATCTAGGGTCTTATGCTAAGTATGAAATGATTATGCTCTCATAAGACAACAGCCAGGGCATGTTATTAAAGTACTTTCTGATTTACTATTCAGTTGCAGCTATTATAAAGATTTTTTTTAAAGTTTCTCTAGATTCTATATGAATTGAATTCCCCTTTGCTACACGTTTAACCCTAGAACCATAAGCTCAGGCTATTTTCTCTGGAACGAGATTTCTTTAACTATGGGGAGCTTTGTTTTTGAGACCAATGTCTCACACCCCCCACCCTGACCCTTTGCCATTTATTACAATCTAACCTTCAGCTATAATACAGCAAAATCTTTGTCAAAGAGGCATAACTACTCAAATGAAAAACCCTTTTGTCAAAGGCAATCTAACTAGTACAGCACAAATAATATATGAAAATCATTCAAGATTTTCCTGAGTGAGTTACATTGTTAAGCATTATAAGACAGCGTATTTTACCAAAATGGTCTACCAGTGGTATCCTCTATTAGCTTTTGGGGAAACACTTGAAGCCACAGAGCTATTTCTATCTCAAACATAGTGACACCACAAACGTGAAGAAGAAAGAAAAACACAGTTAATGGTTGCACTGCATTCCCAAATACTCTAGCAAGTTGCCAAATACTTAAAAGAAAATTGCTCATGTTGATTTACATCAGTGCTAAGAAGCTAAACAACTAAACTATTATGAATGAGTTGATTACAACATAAAGTTTCTATTGACAAAAAACAAAAACAAGATAAACAGTTGGATCAACATAGGAGGAAAACTAAAATAGACTTATTACCAATAATGTGAAGTTCTAGGGAGACAGGCACTTGTATGAGAAAATTGAACAACCAAGTGTGAACAAATTTAGAATGAACAACTGTGAAAATTTGGAATAGATTTGCTATTCTTGGCTTCAGAAGGCTACATTCAATACTCTTCCCTGAGGCTGTGCAAAAGAAAAGGCTTAAAAAACTCTGGAAGAGAGTCTTAATGGAATAGAGATGGCCAGGAACTGCTTATCTGCTGTATCTTGAGGACGGGCTTTGTGCTTCTTCAACAATTAAATGACACTTAAAAAATTTATATTTATATCTAAAGAACAATGTTTAGATGAAGCTACTGGTTTCTGCTGGGCTCATGAAACCAATATTAAAAAAATGGATTTTTAAATCTGCTGCCACTCAATGTCAGGATGGGAAGAATTCATACTAGGCAACAAAATTAAATTTAAACTTCCTTATTCATAACAATATCAAAGTGATAAAGAATCTGAGAAAGATGAAAAATTTTAAAAATATATGATAGTTTTTGAAGGGCTGTATTTTAGATATTTATTGAAATTCAACTTGTCCACAGAAGTTTTTCTTTTAGGTCCTAAGTCCTTGGTCTGTGATTATAATTTGATTATACTAGTACCATTTTCATTGCTGACAAAAAAAGATGTTAAATAACTGGGATACAGAATTGAAAAGAATCTCTCCCAAATTTGTTGACACTGTGGAGGAAGTGACAATCAAAAGAATGCCTTAAGCACTTTGGCTGAGGACAGGACAGCTGTCATCTCAGCATGACAATGGCAAGACAGAAGTTCTTTAAGATATACTGAAAGAGTAACCTCCCCATAACAAGTCCTGACTGGCCCACTTACCTGGAGGTGTACAGGCATCCGCAGGAGACTGGACAAATGTGGATCGTCTTTTAGTTGGCATGGGTAGAGCCATTTTCTGTTCTTTATGCTTGGCCAATGCTGCTTGTACAGCTTCTGTATGAATATCTGAAAAATTAATGACATTTTGCATTTTTTACCTTTTCAAGAGATATTTCAAAATTCTTATTATGTAGAGAGAATATTTATAGGGTTCATTAAGGTTTTGCAAAAGTCTTTCTATACAATACCCCTATCTGGTAAATATTATTCCCTATTTTACCAATAAGGAAACAACTCCCCCAACTGGTCCCCTCATAGGAGCTGCTTAACACCCGAGAGGATTCCACCCTGAAGGTGAAGTCATTCATCAATGATTAACCAACTCAGTCTGTCATGTCCTCTGGATCCCAGAGATCTGCAATCATCAGATGTCATTATTCAAATCCTGTTCTCCATCTCCCATTGCTCGCTTCCTTATTCCCATCCCTCTTAACCTAACCTCTCCCTGTCCCCCCTTCTTGCCCCCCACCATATCCCGCTCTAAAGTCATCTATTTTTTCTACTACTCTTGGGAATATTTGCTTTGTTCCATAGGTAGCAAACTTGATTTGCCCTTAAATCATTTCCTTCTCACTTCTTTCTTTTTAAAAAATTTAATATTTTATTTTCCCCAACAATTTTTAACACTTTTAAAAAATTTTTTGAGTTCCAAATTCTCTCCTTCCCCTCCCCATCTCATTGAGAAGACAAGCAATTTGATATAGGAAATACATTTGCAGTCAAGCAGAACATTTCCATGTTAGTCATGTTGTGAAAGAAAACACAGACAAAAAAAAAGAAACAAGAAAAGAAGGTTTAAATAAAAAGTATGCTTCGATCTACATTCAGACTCCATCAGTTTTTTCTCTGGAGATGGATAGCATTTTTCATCATAAGTCTTTCAGAACTCTCTTACTGTATTGCTAAGTCATTCACAGGTGATCATCATCTTATATGCAATGGTTTCCTGGTTCTGTTAATTTCATTTTGCAACAGTTCATCTATGTCTTTCTAGGCTTTTCTGAGAGCATCCTGCTCATCATTTCTTAGAGAACAATAGTATTCTATCACAATCACATACCACAATTTGTTCTGCCATTCCCCAATTGATAGACCTCCCCTCGCTTTCCAATTCTTTGTCATGACTTAAAGAGCTGCTATAAATTTTTTTTTGTACATATAGGCCCCTTTTCCTTTCGTTTTTTAATCTCTCTGGGACACAGACCTAGCAGTAAGTATTGCTTGGTCAAAGGGTATATGCATGGTTTTACAGCCCTTTGGACATAGTTCCAAATTGCTCCACAGAATGGTTAAATAAGTATACAACTTCACCAACAGTACAATAATGTCTCAATTTTCCCATATCTCTTCCAACATTTGTCATTTTCCTTTTCTGTCATACTAGCCAATCTGATAGGTGTGGTAGTACCTCAGAGTTGTTTTACTTTGCATTTCTCTAATCAATGGTTATTTAGAGCATTTTTTTCACATGACTATAGACAGCTTTGATTACTTTATCTGAAAATTTCCTGTTCATATCCTTTAATTATTTATCATTTGAGGAATGGCTTTTATTTCTATAAATTTGACTCAGTTTTCTGTATATTTGAGAAATGAGGTCTTTATCAGAGAAATTTGTTTTAAAAAATTTACCCCATCCTACCTCTCCCTTTCTTCTTCTCCCAGTGCATTTTTCTTTCTCATCCCTTAATTTAATTTTTTTAGATAATCACCCCATCATATTTAACTCACACCCATGCCCTCCATATATATACATATATATATACATATATATACATATATATATGTATATATATACATATATATATATATATATATACATATATATATATACACACACTCCTTCTAACTGCCCTAATTATGATAAAGTTCTTAAGAGTGACAAGTATCACTTCCCCATGTGGGAACAGAAACAGTTTAACCTCACAGAGTACCTTTATGATTTCTTTTTCCTGTTTACCTTTCTATCATTCTTATAAGTCTTGTACTTGAAAGTCAAATTTTCTATTCAGCTCTAATCTTTTTATCAGGAATTCTTGAAAGTTCTCTATTTCACTGAATTTCCATTTTCCCCCCGAAGGATTATACTCAGTTTTGCCGAGTAGATGATTCTTAGTTGTAATCCTAGCTCTTTTACCCTCTGGAATATGATATTTCAAGCCCTCTGATTCTTTAAAGTAGAATCTGTTAAATCTTGTGTTATTGTGACTATGGCTCCACGATATCTGCAGATCGTTTTGGCTGCTTGCAATATTTTTCCTTGACCTTCACTTGGCTATAAAATTCCTGGTAGTTTTCATTTTAGGGTCTCTCAGGAGGTGATCAGGAGATTCTTCCACTTTCTGTTTTACTCTCTGGTTCTAGACTATCAGGGCATTTTCCTTCCCCTTTCATCTTTTGGCTCAAACTGAGATATGGCTCCCTCCTGATGACATAGCCTCCCTGGCCACACTTTAACTGCACTACCTGCACACCTGCACTTTCACTCATTTCCCTCGACTGCTTGATTGAGGCAGGGGAATTTCAATACTCCTTGCTTCTCACGGCCACTTCCAGATTCTCCTTCTATGACCATCATTCAGTAACCTCTATGTCTTTGAGGTTTACTCAATTCAGATCTACAAACCAATAAAAATTCTGACAGCTGCTGTCTACCAGCCTCCAGTACACTTCCCTTTTCTCCACAGTGAGTTCAGTGCCTCATTGTTATTCTCAACTCTTGCCCTCATACTTCAACATACATAATGATATTCCCTCAAACACCTTTACATCCTAGTTCCTCAATTTACTCATTTCATATGACCTACTCCTCCACCTTACCTCAGCTACACACTGAAATAGCTATCCCCTTAGATCTTGTCACAAATTTATAGTGAACCCAGTCAATTTTGTTATTTTCTCCTCCTTTGGTCAGCTGTATGTGTATAGGAGTAAAGGAAGCAGATGATAGGAGTGATCCAATTCCAAGCCTTTGCAGGATAAGATTAGTGAAATGGTAAGGAGGGAGAGACTCAAGAGGGCAGGGCAGGATGAATCAATTCAGCAAAGGGTCAAGATGGGAAAAGGAAGAAAGTATAGCCAGTACAGGGGTGACTGGCTTGTGAAAGAACTAAGGTGTCAAAGAACTGGAGGGTATAGCGAGGATGAAGAATAGAGTCTGGCGTTGCAAGGCAGAGGAAGAAGTGAAATGACAAACTGTGATAAGGCAATTTGAGAGTTCATAAACATGGAAGTGGAACATTTGTGAGAGTGACAATCAATGCTTCCATTTTCTTTTTCTCACTCTCTTCTTGATTCTGCAGTCTGGCTTCCAACCTCATCATTCAAACAAAACTGCTCTCTTCAAAGTTACCAATGATCTCTACATTGCTAAATCTACTGGCCTTTTCTCAATCCTCAGCTCTCTTGACTTCCCTGAAACCTTTGACATTATTGATCATCCCTTTCTAGATATTCTCTTCTCTCTAGATTTTTGTGACACTATTCTCCTTGATTTTTTTCCTACCTATCCGACCATTTTTTTCTCAGTCTCCTCTGCTGGATCTCCATTCAGGTCATGCCCACTAACTGTCCTGGGCCCTCTTCTCCTCTCCTGCTATACTACTTCACTTGGTGATCTCATAAGCTTCTACGGATACAATTTTCATTTCTATGTTCATTTTCAAATCTATACATCCAGCCATAAACTCTGTTGACCTTCAGTCTTGCACCTTCAACTTCCTATTAGAAATCTCAGACTGGATTCCAGTAGTAATCTTAAACTCAATATATCTCAAACTGAACTCATTTACTGTCTTTCCTCTCCACCTTCTTCAGAGAGCCTTTCTCAGGGTCTTAATTCTAGTGTCTTCCCTCTGCTGATCATTTTCAACGTATATATGTTGCTTGTAAAAAGTTGTTTGCATGCTGTCTTTATTAGACTGTGAGCTCCTTGAGAGCTGCAGCTGTCTTTTGCTTTTTTTTTTTAAAGTATCTTCAGCATTTAGCACAGTGCCTGGCACTACAATAGACATTCAATAAATATTTATTGATTGACTGATTGGCTGATGGTCTCTATATCTAGACAAGTCATTCTCACTCCAGTTTACTTCTAAGATCGACATAGTGGATTTCCAACCCTACAGGATTCGTCTTCCTGGAGCCCTCTGCTCCTGCTGTCTCTACATAAGGAGCCTTATAGGCTCCTCTATCGATGCCCTGAGAGGCTGCTGGCTTGTTGGCCAGGGAGTCCTGGTTTTGCTGCTTGGTCCCTTTCTTCTTGCCCCTCTGTTTCTCTATGACTTTTCATGCATTTCTGGTTTTGGGGAAGGTAACTTCACTGAAGTTTCTTACAGAATTAATTTTTTGATCCTTATTTGTTCTGCTGCTATTTTAGCTCCCATAGATTTAATTACTATTAGTATGGTGATAATTCTCAAGTCTACTTATCAAGTCCTAACATCTCTGCTGACCACTAGTCTCATCCCCAACTACCTACCGAAAATCTTGAACTGGACGTCCTGTAACATTTTAAACTTAACATGTTCAAAACTGAACTTTATCCCCAAACCCTCCCTACTTACAAATTTCCCTTCCCAGTTAAGTACCACAGACTGGAAACCTAAGTGTCATCCTCCATTCCTCATTCTCACCCCAACATTTAATCTGTTGTCAGGGCCTGTTGATTTAACCCATGCAATATTTTTCAAATCCACCCCTTCAATCCTCTAGATGCCACCCTGGTGAGGTACTCATTGCCTTACACCTAGGCCAGTCACACCTTCCCTCTGGGTCCTCAGGCAATTCTTAAGACTGAGTTTCAGAAAAGGTACTTATTTGCCTTGGTACAAGAAGCGTCCTTACTGGATCTCCCTACACTGATGAAATCACAGATCATGTTCCCCCAAAAATCTTCCTGAGGTTCTCAACCAAGATACATGAGGATGAAGAAGAGAGTCAAGCAAGGCAGAGGGAAAAGTGAAATAATAACAGATTGTGATAAGGGAATTTCAGAGTGCCCTCTAATTCTTTGACTTCTTAGTTCTTTCACAGGCCAATCACTCCTGTACTGGTTATACTCTCTTCCTTTCCCCTTTTTGATCCTTTGGTGAAATATAGTACATAACCTTTTTCTGAAAAATACCAGACCACTTTCTTTGTTTCTCTCTGCCTCCTCTCCACAACGTCACCTCCCCCCACCCTCCATTTTTTGAAAGTTTAAATGTCCAGCTCTTATCTATATTTTCCCTCACATCAACACATTTTCTGATCTCAGGGACAGTAACAATGTATTTGTAACTTTTGAGTAACCCCCTAAAACTGGCTCCTTTAACCTTGGTCACCCATTCTGTCTGGAAATACAGGAACTGGAGGGGCAGCTAGGTGGCACAGTGGATAGAGCTCCAGCCTTGGAGTCAGCAGGATAACCTGAGCTCAAATCTGACCTCAGACACCTGACGCTGATTGTCTCACCAAAAAAGCAAAATGGAAATAAGAATTGGAGAACTAATTTTTTCCAACTTTCATTATACTATTATGAAACATAAGAGCCCAGAAGCCCTGGGTTCCAGTCCTGCCTGTGACACACAGCTGTCTGACCTTAGTCAAGGAACTAAATCTGAGAGCTACTTTCTAAGAAAGTGGTCTCCAAACTTTTGTGATCATATACCCTAAGTGCACACCCCCCAACATATGTCTAATTACTTATTTATAAATTTTATACATGTAATATTGTAGTAATAAATGTACATATTAAAAAACTCACACAAAAGATAGAAATTTAAAAAGAGAGAGAAAGACAAAATAACGTCTGACCCTGGAGTCAATGAGTCAATTAGACAGCCATAAGAATTTACTGCGTAAGAAAATGAGATGGTAAGACCTATGGTTTAGAAACACTGCTTTATCAGTTGAGTGAAAGATGGATTGGAGAAGGGTAAAACATGGACCAAAATATCAATTAAGGAGGCTACTATAAGAGGACAGCTAGGTGGAACTAGTGCATAGAGTGATAAGCTTGGAATCAGGAAGACCCGAGTTCAAATGCAGACTCAGACACTTCCTAGCTGTGTAACCCTGGGCAAGTCACTTAACCTTTGTTGCCTTCGTTTTCTCATCTGTAAAATGGGGATAATTATAGCACTACCTTGAAGGGTTATTGTGAACATAAAATGAAATAATGTTTGTATACAGTACCTAACACATAGTAGGTGCTACATAAATGTTAGCTATGTAATAATAATGATTAAAAATAATAATAATCTGAATTTAGGTGGTGGCTATGTAGATAGTGAGAAAAGGATTGATGCAAGAAATGTTGTAGAAGTAGAAGCAACAAACCTTGGGAACTGTTTAGCAATGTGGGATGATGAGGGAGAGTGAAGAGTCAACAATGATATCACAGCTATAAACCTGGGTGATGGGAAGGATGGTGGTACCTTTGACAGTAATAGGGAAAATCTGGAAAAGGGGTAGACTTGGGGGAAAATACAATGTAATGATATCTGCAATGCAGACTCATGTATGCCTATTCTTTTGTCACATCCAAAATGAAAAAGGGGGGAGATATTACCACCCTCCAAGAGGTGATCTGGGGGGTAGGGATTTTTCCAATTGTACCTGCTTAGCTTCTACTGTGAGTATCCATGTAGTGATTAGGTTATATGTGCTCTCAAAGCTCAGGTCAAGATGGGGGAGGTTGGGAGCTTATACTTACATAGTAGAGGGAAAAGTGGGGAGCAGGGGAATAACAAGGTTAGTTAGTGATTGTGTGGTAGACAAACTCCATGACTGGCGATTTTTGAGATGGTGGGATCCAATCTGTCTTCCTATTCTCTGATTAGTTAATCACATATCTTTTAGCGTCATATCACTGGCCTCACTTTGGAGACCATGGTACTAAGTTGCAGATGAGCTGCTGATATGTACTACTGAAGAAGTTTCGAAATTGGAAGTTCCTTGCACAGATGAAATCACTGGTCTGGACGCCCAAAATGCATAATTACACATCAGTTAGGATTTTAGGGCCTAAATTACAGAAAATTAGAAGCTGTTAGAAGATTTAGTCTACACTTACACCAGCAATGACATTCAACAGATAATCTTGTTCATTCTTTACCTGATCGATATCTCTCATCTCTAGCTCCCCCAGATCGACCTCGGTGGTACTTGGAAGAGGTTGAGGCTGGTGCTGCAGATGAAGCTGTCTGGTTTTTGTGTTCCTTTTGAACTGTGGAATCAATCCCTAGGGGGGGAAAAATGTAGAAGACTTTTCATACTTAAATAAAAACAAACCAAAGTAATAATTGTCAAAAGATGTCACCTTATAGGAAAAAAGGGGGAAAAAACAATAAAAACAAACAAAAGGAAAATCTTTTGGCCAGCTGTGATATCCAAAAGATGTAATTTTTAAGATTAAAAAAAATGAAATAAGGAATATTTTCTACTTCTGCCACAACCCGCTCCTTTGCTCACATTGGTCTTAAAGTTTTAAGCCTCCCTTAATACATAGAAAATAAGTGCAAAAATGCTATTACTGATAAAGATTAAAAAGCTCCTAAGTCACTACCTATATGAAAATGCAAATTAACCCATTTCTGCTTGTTTCTAGATTAGGGCAACTTTTTCTTCATTCAACAACTCCATTCAAACACATAAAAAGTACTGACTAGACCCTTATCAAAAAATCCACTAGGAAACCAGGGCTTTTTCAGTTCAGGTATCTTGCCATCATTTGTGCAAGCCCTCCTCATCCCATTTCCTCATTCCCTTAACCATCCTTCCACATCCTGCTCTGGGAACATAATTAAATCACTGCTACTGGCAAGACTGTGACAATCTGCCATACTACTACTCAGAACAAAACTTGGCTCCCACTCTTGAATATGTTATCTTATCACCCTATTAGGATGCAAACTTCAGGGCAAATACTGTTTCTGTATTTCTATTCCCAGAGTCCAGCACAATGCTTGACACGTGGAAGGTGCTTAACAAATTTATGTTCATTCATTCATGAAAGGCACTGGAAATAGAAACATATAACACGAATCCTGCTCTCAAAGAACTTACTATCTAATGAGGGAAATTAATGGTATACAAATAACTGATACAAAGGAAAGCATGACAAGTGTAAAGGAGAGAACCATATGATATGAAAAGTTTAAGGAGGGAAGAGATCATTTTTACCTTTGGAGGGAAAGGCTGAGGAGAGGTGGAACCTGAATTGGTCCTTGAGCAAAGAAAGGGATTATATCAGACAGAGACAGAGGTGAGAGGAAGTTCAATTCAGGCACGGTAGACAGTGTGGAAAAGTACAGAGAAAGGAGAGGGTATGATAAGAATATGGGCTGAAAAGTAGTCAAACTAAACCATTAAACACCTCCGAAGGGGGTATTTGAAAGCAAAGTAGAATAAGGGTGGAAAATTGGATCATCACCAGAATGCAGCAGGCTTTAAATACCAAGATCAGGACTTTGTATTTATTTGGCAGGCAGTGAAGATCCTGAAAATTTTTTGACAGGAGTGACATCTGGGCAGCAGAAAGATGGATTAGAGAAAGGAGAGATGAAGGGTAGCCATCTAAACCAAAGGTAATGAGGGCCTGAACTATGGCAACTGTGTAGGAAGTAGAATGGCTAGAGATAGAGCCAAGGTAAAATGAACATGGTTTGGGCAGGTGATTTTATGTGGGTAGTGAGGAGGAAGCTTAAAAGAGAACTTTGAGATTATCTCAGCTAGAATAAGTTGGGAGGGTGGTGGCACTATTAACAGGCAAAGGGAAGTCAGGGGAAGAATTAGGGTGCTTTTGTTTTGGTTTGTGGGGGACATCTGGACAGGCTGAATTTGATGTGCTGTTGGGCATTTACTTGGAGGTATACAACAGGAAGTTAAATATATAGGACAGGAGAGCTCTGGGGAAAGGTTTGGAATGAGAGCAGAGATTTAGGAGTTATCCTCAAAGAGGTGACAAAGTGAAACTGGATAAGTGAATGAGAGATAAAGTGTAGGAGAAAAAAAAGAGAGAGAGAGAGAAAAGGGCCAATGCCAGAATTGTTGGGAACACCTACTTTTTATGAGACAAGAAAAGGATGAAAAGTCAACAAAAGAAATGGGAAGAGTGGTTATATAGATCACAAAAACTAAGGTAAAAATGAGTGTCAAGGAGGTAGTCAGTGTCAAATACTACAGAAGTAAATAAAGAAGAATGAGGACAGAAAAAAGGCCACTGGATTTAGTCAAACGAGGATTAATACTGAGACTGGAGAGAGCTATTTTAATACAATGGTGAGTGAGTACATCTGAAAATCATTAGGAACTTATATTAAATTGAAAAATAAAAAGTTCAAACTCCATTAAAAAGTCCATTAAAAAGAAACAAAAGAATGAAGGGGTACCAATTTCTCTGGGTTTATGCACATCCTTCAAAACATAGCTTAAATTGTCTCTCTTCTATGAAACCTTGACCACTTCAATTGGAATTGATATTTTCCCTTCTCTAAGTTCCTACAGAATTTAATTAAACCTCTCATTTGGCAACATTTACCATCTTGTACTGTGTTTATGTCTTGTCCATCTGACTAGATTACAAACAATGGAGAGAGGAATTATATTTGACATACAATGTCTAGCATACTAATACCTCTTATATCTAAAAAAACATATCTAGAATATAATCATGAATCAGGAAGTAAATCTGCCCACTGTGGTCTAAGATATACCAAATAAAAGTGACAAAGTTCATGTACTTGTTCAAGCACTTCAGTGATAGAAGAGAACCTCAGGCCTTTATTCAAGAGTAAATCCTCCCTCCCCCTCCATTTTTCAAGTTTCTAAGCCCACAAAGGCAGTAAATCTTAAGATTTACACAGCACTTTCCTCACAATCCCATAACTCATGTGACTATCATTATTCCCATCTTACAGATAAAGAAAATGAGTCTCAGAGAAGTTACGCAACATCATAAAACTTAATAAATAGCAGAGCCTGGGTTTGGAACTCAGGTCATGTAACAATAAGTCCATTCCACCATTCTATCTCACTTTACACTGACTCTTATTTATTGCCCAAGGATCACAAAACACATAGCCAGACTCTTAAAAAGAAGAAACCAACTAGGTGTTCTAAATTTGCACTGGGAATATACAGTTATTTTCAAAGAAATGCTGAGTTCTTATCTTTTAGATAAGGCATGTAAGGCTTCAACCATTTACTGAAGAAATAACCACTTAAAAAGCATATTCTGAGTGATTTAAAAATAGAGAACAAAAACAAGAAAGGAGCTATTTTTACAATCACATTTTACGTTCAGGAAGGAAATTAAGAGTTACACACACAAACAGCTTTTCTTATACAGACATGAAGAGGGAAAAAGTGTCTGGCTTATACTCAACTCATTCAGACACTGAATGAAGTTTGGAAGTTCACTGCTATTTATGACTTCAGCATGAACTTTCCACCACAGCATGTTAATGAATAGGTCTACATAATTATCTAGTACTGATTCTTTTGCTAATTAGCAGTTTCTATGATACCAAAAGAAAACTCTAATTACTTTCAGCAGTCATAGCCTTGAAAGGCAGCAAAGCAGAGTGGACAAAGAGCTGGCCTCTCAGTCAAGAAGGCCTGGACTCAAGTCCTACCTTGGAAGCTTTGTGGCTCTTGTGACCCTCACAACTACCTACTGTAGGCAACTCTCTTAGCCTTAGAGAAGGTTCTACTCTGTACTGATACAGGAAGTTCCTCACTGCTAGCTTCCTACAACAAAATTACAGGTTTAGTCCAAAAGCCACAACAAAACAGTTTTAGTCTAAGGGGTCAATGATGAGTACACAAAGACAGATCAAAACCACTTTGCTTGGTGGGATTAAAAAAAAATTAGAATGTTGAGGTATTAGGAAATTTTCATCTCTCCTACTCATTTATGCTCTTCATTTTGGCTTTTAAAAACAGACCTAATTAGAATGGATATGGGAAGATATTGACTATACAGGAAAGAGTAACAAGATTGGTGAGGAGGAGACAAGTGAAGGGGAAACAAAGATGGGGCCCAATAAAGTGATGGATCAGTAAGTGGAAATATGAGAATTGAGAGATGGCATGTGGTAGGAACAGAGGACAACAACTGAAGATATATATTCAAGACTTTATAAGATTATCAAATACAAAACTATAAAGTCAATTGACAGGAAAAGTGATTCACATGACGTAAGTCAAGAGTTCTTCAATATTCAACATGGAATTCATTTATTGAGCATTCAATGCAATAAGGTCCTTCCTATGTGTCAGCTGCTATACAAAAAGGCAGATACAAAGAAAAAATTATACCATTCCTTCCTATATTCTACTGGGAGAAAACAGCATGTAGACAGAAAATTTAAGTAAAAATATATACATAGAAATTTCTGGGCAGAGTGCCTGTGAGGGGAAGTGTTCAGGAAAAGAATGTTAGAGGAGGTGGCAATGAGAAAGGAATATATTTTAGGCATGGAAAGGGAAGAAAGCCGTGCAAAGGCAAAGAGTTGGGAGATGGAATAATACAGCCCAGATAGCAGTAAGAAGGTCAGTCTGGCTGGACTGTCAAGTTATGAAGGAGAGCAATGATATGTAATAAACTAGAGAAAAGTAGGGTAGATACTGTGAAGGGTTTTAGAAACAAACTAAGGAGTTTGTATTTTATCATATTGGAGAGAGGGAGCCAATGGAGTGTTACTGAGCAAGGGAATGCCAAGGTCAGCCCTTTGTTTAGAAGATATGTGGAAAATGACTGGAGAAGGGATAGAATGGAGACAAAAGAGATCCATTAAGAAGTTATTACAGGCAACGCCCTTTCCCCTTGGTTATTTGACATACGTTAGCTATAGCAATAAGGCAAAAGAAAGAAATTAACTAGAGGCATAAACATGGGCAAAGACAAGACATAACTATTCCTGTTTGCTATAACATGAAGGATTATTTATAATATCCTAGACAAATACTAAAGAAACTGAGACAGTAGCTTCAATTCAGCAGTAGGATACAAAATACATTAGCATTCTTATAAACCAAGGATTCTTAACCTGGAGTGTGTGTGAACTTGTGATTTTATAAAAATATATTTTGATACTTTTTAATATAATTGGTTTCCTTTGTAATCCTATGCATTTTATTTTAATAGTACTTTTTCCAATTACATGTAAAGACAGTTTTCAACATTCATTTTTTCATAAGATTTTGAGTTCCAAATTTTTCTCCCTGCCTTGCCTCCTC